CCTTTTTAGTAGTCTCAGTGCTGCCCGGCCGCGGGGAGGGAACATTGAACATTGAATTGACTTGACACATACTTGACGACTGACAACCGGCACCCACGCACGTCGCCAACAACATCGGCGGTGTGTGTCGAGCAAGCATACAACATGGAAGAGGCCGGTGAGCCGCAGAGCGGGCTGTAGGGCCAGCCACTCAGTTTACACGCCGACTTGGACTCATGGCCTTGTTTGGCATCTGGTAATACGCGGCATGGCCAACGGTGGATGCCGGGGGGGTGCGACGAGCCAAACAGCTGCAGAATTTCCAGAAGCATGAGCATGAATGAGCATGAAAAGAGGTCCCGTCAAATTCCATCTTGACTCGACGACGACGAGGCAGACAGCGAGGCCCCTGACGCGCGTGGCCTGCTTCCAAAGACCTGGACCGCGAGGACAGTACTTACTCAGTAGTATGCATTTTGAATCCGAACATGGCATCAACAGTTAGCAGCCTTGTTGCTCCTTTTTTTAATCCTCTTTTTCCTTCTCCATCATCACGACTGGACCCAAATATAGCAGCCCAACGCAGCCCAAAAACAAGCACTTGAGCACAGTCCAGAATCTGTCAACTGCTCTTTGTGCGCTCAACAGGGTCAGGGTCACCCTGGTCGTCAGGGCGTGCAGTCAACGCCGACACAAACACATGCATTCACAATGGGGAAATAAAAAATAAATGAAGTAAAATTAAAAATAAAGCAATACCCTGAGGCCCGATACGTGCCCCCCCCCCCGGGGTTGCCATGGACGTCTTGGTAACGCGTCCCACACGAGATACGGGATGACAGCGGGAGCCAAACCAACGACGCCATCCGCCAATGCAGAACGCGCTGTGGCCCATCCCTGTGCTGAGGCTTCTCCGGACCGCTTGAAACGGGCTCCCACCTCGGCTTCTATTGCCGGGGGTGTACATATGTACGGCTGGGAATAGGAGAGCATCTGCTAAACGAGCGGCTAGGGAACCGGGAAACGACAAACAGGGGAGGAAGAAGAGCAAGACAAGGAGCAACATGAATGGTTTGACTTGGTGGCAGAAGGGCCATGTCGCGCTGGCTGTCTGGTGGGCTAAATCGCGTTGAATGGACACGGCAGAACCATGTATAATGTAGATGCCGGATGTTGGTGAAAACATCCTCTGGCTTGGGGACCTTGGAGAACAGCCTGAGACTTCACGACGAGTATACAGATCCTGGTGCATGTTCTGTTTGTAGGCGTCATGTTCAATTTCGCCACTCTATTGCCACTTTTCACCATATTCCATGTTTCACTATATTCACCTCGATCGACATGTTTGCATATCCATCCATCCTGCCAGTCTGCTTTCGCATTTACCGCGTTACGACTCCGTATTTTCAGCCCAGTAATTGGCTGCACTCTTGACACAGAGTGGAGGTTTTCTCCGTTTATGAAGAAAGGTCGCCGCGGCGGCACCCAGTGCGGTCAAGATGCAGTTCGCACGTAGTGTAATTATAGATGCCGCATGCATGTCCTCCGTATGTGCAATACAGCCAGCACTGAGAACAATAAAGGACAAAACATTCATGCAACAATGGTATTGTACATGGTCCGTGTCACGAGTCAAGTCCAGCCCGTTTCACTCCCGCTCACACATGTCGCTAGTGCTATTTAAACACTGCCCAAGGTAAAAGCAAATCTATTTATGATCGAGCCGTATGCCGCGCAAATGCCACTGACCCAACCGCAGCCAACCGTTGACACGTCGAAAATGAAAAGCCACCTGCAAGCACGGCCTCTTCACCTGCGCACGTTTCACCCCGAAATAAACCCTGTGAATATACATAGTAGTACTGCCCGACGTCGGTCAATATGTGAATGGTAGCATCCAGGTAAAATTCGCCGTCTGGCCGCTGATCATGGGCAGGCAAGGTACGACACGTGGAAATGGCAAGGGCCCCCTTTTCCATCTCTCTACACTCAACTCGGTGCCCCCTGTGCTGTCTTGTATCCTCCAAGAGAAGGGATCTTGCCCGTCGCCGTGTAGATCACTTGGCAGCTGTGCAATCACAGAGCAGAACCGAACCAAATGGGGAAGGTAGGCGGCCGAGGAGACACAGAAGATGTTTGCAGTACTGTAGAATCCGTACGGGCGCACTGCGGCAACAAAAGCAGACTTGACACTTGTTTTTCTTCCGGCTTTGCGGTTGGGCCGCACAAAGAGGCAGCTGTTCCGTGAATGCTGAAACGGCCGTCGAAGCTGCATGAACGGAAATGCCGACGATCCAAGCACAGTCTAGACAGGAAATTGACCCCACTCTGCCTGTCAAAAGAAGCACCGGTTGAGTCAATCTATCAAGCCGTCTGTCTGGTCGACGCGGGCCCGCGTCAAGGCCGCCCGGAATTGAACTGTTGTCTGGCCGTCGTGCCTTGCATAGCCATTTCCCGAAGCCCACCAGCTGAGCCTCTCATCTTGTCAATGGCATGTACATACAATGCGCCGCCCGATCAGCATTTGATGCGAGATGGGTCGTCGGACCAACCTTGCACATCGGCATCGGCATCAAGGCCCTCGGTTCCGAGGGCCACGGGGCAGAATCTTGGTGCAAGCGCCAGGAGATTGTCGCCTCTCGTAGGGTCTGCGGAAAAGGAAAGAAAAGCAGCACCCCCGACCGACTGAGAGGCCCTTTCAGGACATGACTGCCACGGCAAAGCACCCGGCCATCTTGCCAAGAATACCGGCGACACCAGTCTCACATTGCTGCTGTGGGGGGCGCCCTATCAATTCGGGTCTGTCAAGCGAAGCACAGCAAATTTCGCATTTACTAGAAAAAAAAAAAACACGACTACTAGTAGTACTAGGGTACACGTCCCCCTGTAGGTAGCTTCCCAGCCCAACGGGACGCCTGTCTATTGGGAAAAAGGAGATCGACCCAACCACGCTTCTGCACGCCTTGTCAACAGCCAAAAGACGGCGGAAATAAAGACAAGAAAAAGAGCATGGCCAAGGCGAAAATGACCAGTTGACACGCACGGCCGCAGGTACGCGCGGCACGGGGCTTTTTTGTCCCGCCGCCGCCCCGTTATCGAGGCGCTGCGAGAGCCGAGACCGTCCCAATTGGGCACCTCTTTCTTCCCCAACGCTCTTCATGTCGTAAAACGCGAACCCTGCCCGTGCACAAAGACAGCTGCAGCATTAGAATTTTCGCTTCTTAAAGAAAGGCCCATGTGCTTATATCATTGTCATCTTGTGGTGCTTTGTCGCCCGGGCGCACGAGGACTAGCGCCTGGGCTCTCGTCGACTGGCCCCAGCATCCGCGGATGTCGGGGAGGGAACGAACCGTCTGGAACCCCATTGACGGACGGGGTGCTGAAGTCCCGGGCATTGATGGCCCGACGACTAAGCCACGATGGGCGGCGCAGCGAAGGACAAAAAGAAAGAAAAAAAAATTCACAGCCCGCAGCGCACGTCCGTTCGAATGAATGACTACAACTAGCATTTGTTACTAGTACCAGACCTTTTATCCTTTGCTTGCGATTGCCTGACCACGCCATGGCGCGCCCCTCCGTTGGGGCCCGTCCCCACATGCTGATTGGCGCGGCCCTGACAAGATTGAACATTGGGAAAAAGGCCAGGCTGCACATGGTGGTTCGTTTCAGAGTCGAATTTGGGGGCTCCACTGTTTCTGCCAAGGAATCTTCGACCAGGAACAGCTTGCCAGAGGGGAGGCAGGAACACAGGACCCGGAGGCTTGGGTCAATCATCTGTGAGGGAGAATGAGGCCGGGCCGTTGGGAGGCGTCAATGCCGACGTGTGTCTGCTGGGGATGTGTGCATAAACCACGTTGTCTTGACGGTTGGGAGGAACCCTGCTCGGCTGGGCGACGAAGTGGCCTGGTCGCTGGCACATTTCATCAACGGGACCTAGCTGGACTAGTCGCAGAGGGGAAGCACTGTTGTTGACAACTTCTTGTTGTTGTTGTTTTGTTTCTTTTTTTGCAGGCAATGTAGCCAATTGTGGTATCGTATTTGTGTCTATCTACCTTGATCCTATACGTTCATGCCAGATGTGCTGCACAGCAGCCTCCCTAGTCCACCCTGTCGGGATCCCAGCGCCCGCGCCCAATTCATTCTGCCAAAACAAAAAAACCCGCAGACCTGCGTCAATCAAGTCAGGCTGTATGCCAAATGCCACCTCTCAAATACATGTTGGTACATGGCCAAGTTAAACATCAAATATATGCGCACCAGTCCGCCAACTGTTGGCCGCTTGCGGCGTTTTTTCGGTCCCGCAATCAAGAAAAGAAGAAGAAGAAGAAAAATAAGTGACCGAGCATCTACCATGCCATTGGGTGCAGGTGTGCGCCAAATTCTTTGACGCTACCAGAGTGCCGTTGAGCGAGCGATGCCGTACGTAGAGCTGTTCTTCCAAAGTCGTCGATATGCTTGGCGTGGCGACGACGTAAACAGTGGCCCAGTTCGCCCTTCAACTTTGGCGCTTTGAGATCCGTGCTGAATAATGTTGGTAGATGCGGCGGCTGTCTCCCGGAGCGAGTGCTGACACGTTTTCCGACACTGAGCTGTACGGTAGGATTTTCTCTAGTTGGCAAGTTTCGGCAATACATCGCAGCTGTCGGGGAAGTCAATTCCCCGTACTTTGAGTTTTTCGTGTCGATACACTAGTCAGGCTGTAATTCGAGAGCAGCGGCCAAACACGCTTCATGTAGCGTCTGTATGCTAGCTGCCTGTCGGGTGGAAGTAGTAACGCATGTTGGGGGGTATCCTTTCTATATTTTCGCTGGTAAAACAAAACAGGGCCATGTGTGATTTATAGAACACGTCTTTTGCGCCGTCTGTGGACGCACAAATGACCAGTCGCAAAACACACACAAAAAGAGGGTCGTCATGATTCGCTTATCCTGAAGACGTGTCGCATTCGCTCGATCCAAACAAAAGAAGGGTGGTTTTTTTTTCTCCTTTTGCCATGCCTAGGCGCTGTCGCCAAGGATGGTTTACTTGTAACCGACCATCTTTGCGCAACGCTCACAGTAGTAGAGGTTGTGGGCGATGCGGACCATGCCGGTAGAGCTGACATCGTCAGTTGAGGTAGCTTCGACCGAGCGAGCACAACGCATGCAGCGTAGAACCTCAACCGAGGCAACTGATGGTCGAGGGGCGGAGGAGTCCATGCTGTGTCTGTAGCTGGTGGCGGAGGAAGAGGCGGTAGATAGTCCTGATTCTGATGAGGCCGAGGAGGATGATCCAAAGCGTTGAGATGAGATAGTGCCGGCGGAGGACATGGCGGTATCTATATAGTTGGCAGGCTGTGTGGTGCGTGTGTATGCTTGCAGAGTGCTGGGAGTGGTGTACGAGTCGGCCGCCTTGTCAGGGAAATAACCCAAGTTTCAGTGACCCCTGGTCGATTTTGGCCTGACGCTTTACAAAAATAATCTCCCGATTTAAGCTTTTGGAAGGAACGAAAGAGCTGCAATCGAAGCGGCGTTTTGATATTGCGGCTCAGATGAAGGGGTCCTAGGGTCCCTGTGTCGTAAGCGTGGTCAGGTCAAGGGTGATTGTTGAGGCAGGACAATCATATGACCAGGGCCAGGACTTGTATTTTCTTTCAGGAGTAAGAAAGAACCGGGCGTCGGGCAGCTTTAAGGGCGAAAAAAGAGTCCTAGTCTTGGGGATGAAAAGCAGACCAGGTCTATTAGCTCCAGGAAAGGGGTGTGCGGTCTTTGCGAGGGAAAGCTGGCGACGGGGAGGGACGGCCTTGTTAAAGTAGCGCCCGGGAGGGCTGGAGAGACAGAATTAAAATAGGGTCTGAGGATGGCCAGCAGATCCACGGCCGTTTCTCAAGATGGCACGGCTTGATCGTCGATGCTGGCCGGCCCTTCCACGCACTTTTTCACCTTGGCCCTGGCCAGGGCCTGGGCCGCCATGAGATGTGAATACCATGCATCGGCTGTGGCCGTGTACGGGTACCGCAGTGTAGCGTGGCTTGCGGCTTTGCAGGGCGAAGTTGCAGTTTGACGAGGTGGATGCATGTAGTGGGGTACAGGAGGGGTGGGAGTGGGGGCAGCGAAGGGGAGGGGCGCCCGGCGCGTTCGGGGGTGTCGACACTGTCGAGACTCGGGGCAGGGAAGAAAGTTTCCAGGTCCATGCATGTGCATGTAGGCGGCATTTATGCAAGTACACGAGCATAGCAACTCTGCGACATTGGGCACTGGGCACCGGCCAAGACCACAGCAGGCAGCAGCCATCTGGAACTCCGCACTCAAAACAAAGCCGCCGACTCTGGTCAGACTCACCCACGCCTTGCCCAGCCAGCCAAGTCTTGTCGCAATGTTACGGAGCAGCCTCCGTAATTTTCGCCGTGGTCCAAGGGCTAGAACTCCTTGGACCTTGGGCTCGCCTTGCCGGGCTTTCCAGTGGAGGCATATTCACTTCCACTTGGGGAGATTGCTTCAAAACCCCAACGGGCCCAGCTCGTTATGCCTTTGGCGTACCACAGTTCAAGCTACCAACAAAACATGCTGGAATGCGCTACATTACATTACGGAGTACTGGGCGGCCAAGCATGCATGCAGGGTACCGAGTACAAAGTTCACAGAAATGGTGTGCCGGGGGCCAGGGTTGCCAAGTCCCCTCTGTGAGCCTGCCATATCACCCTAGCCCACCTACGACATTATTTTGAACCATTGGTTCGTTGCGGCGTCCTCCGCGAGTACAACCAAGAGCAGAATGGCCTAGGACCTCTTTGATCTGGTGTTCTATTATTCACTAGTTCACCAGTGTTGGCATGAGCCAGGCAGCTTTCACGCCTGGTGCATGGTAGCGAACAGCAGCCAGATGCATGTATTCCCGCAGAACAATCGAGTCATTAGGCTGCCGGCCGCCGGCCCATTGTCCCAGAGCACGAAGCTCGAAGACTGAATTGTATCCGCAGACCATCAGATATCTGTCGCCCTGTCTTCAGCTTCTTGCAAAAACATACTACTCCGGGGCCTCCGTTTCGAATACACATACTCCGTACATATCGTCTTCATAGAGCTGCCGATTGCCCCAAGTCATCCGTACGCTCCAGTCAGTCTAGTTGCCCTCGGAAGTCTGGAGTGCTTCGTCTAGGCGTTTCTTAGCCACGGCCTGTGGATGACGAGTCTAGCCTTTGGTGATGCGGAAAGGCAAACTAAGCCCGGTGCGACCAAGGCCAGCATCCGGCAACCTCGAGCCCCAGCACGTAATAACGAAGCCTTGAACTTATCCGAGCAGGAGATTACCGAATCGGAGAGCTCGGGCAGGGAGTGGATATAACGGGACGGCATGAGTCCGCCTTGTCCGTCCAATGTCGCTGGCATTGGGTTCACGCTTAGCCTCAATGGCCTCCCCTTCGCGACAGTGGAGTCCGCTAGAAGCCACTGTTTCTGCCCTTGCAGCTGCCTGTGATCTGGAACTGGTCGAACATTTGAAAGGCGAAAGCTCTTGGAATGGCGTTGAAACGCGAGTTACGAACGAGTATAGACCCGGCGACTCTTACTGCGTAGTCGTCTTGTCAATCCCTAGATGTACAGTACTCCAGGGACGGCGCGTCAGCCCAGCAAACCATCTCGAATGGCTTGAACACAGGCTGGAGTCATTTTCTGCATAGTACCACCTTCGCTCGACCAAAACACCATGACGTTCAAACGGAGAAAACTCCGGGGCTTAGTTTGTCTCGCAGGCTGCAAACTGTTGAAGACATGCACAATCTGTAGCACTCGTCAAGTGACATGATACAAACATCGCATTTCATCAGCTTGGCGTTTTAGACATGCAGCAACAAGGCATGTCTCCCTCGGTATGTTGATGTGCGCCTACCGTTACAGATATGGGATACACACCAGCACGCTGCTAATTCGGGAGCAATCTAACCAAATGGCAATATCTACGAAGAATCTGAGTTCCATGTCTGTCGTTCTAACTCACAATACCGGACAGCTTTGGAACGAGGCCGACGCATCGTGCCAGAGCCGACGGCAATAACAGGCCTATGAAAATGCCTGCTTGTTTTGCCGTGCGGACAGCGCCAGCGTAAACATGTGTCCTGGTAGGAAGGCACATGTGCTTTTCCGTCGCCGATATTGGATACAACGTGACCAGAATACTGTCATAATTCATAAATCGAAAAGGAGGAATGAGTGCAATGACGCGATGACGGCACATGGGGTTGCCATCTCCAGCGACTTACTGAGAAGCCCAGAAACACAATTGCCGCGTCCTTGTCCGTTTTTAGACCGCTACTACTTGTGTCTTTTCACAACGGAGAGATGTCGGTTAGTGATGGTGACACGGCAAGCACGGTCAGACACTCATGATTTTGGTGCATGGATACTGTATCATTGCAGTTCAACCAACATCGAGCAAGGTCATGCGGCTCGGTGACGAGCATGAGATGACTGCTTGCAGTTTATGTCTCGGTTTTTTGCCCACCGCTTGCACATTCGTCAGCATGTGGGTGATGCGAAAACACGATGCCGCTGCCAAATGGCTCAGCCTTAAACCCGTGCAACACAGAAACGCGTATTGGTTGAGGCTGACCGACATGGACTGACTGAGTCACCAGCCAAGAAAATGCCATGAAGGCATCACGCCTCAGCCATCAATAATGCGCAGCTCGGAATAGCACAGCACATGCTGTCACTACTGGAGTCCGCATACGCATCAAAACCTCCGTACTCCGTACGGTCAGTCAGTCCTGTCAAGCTACTTTACCAAGCTAGAGCACCATGTCTGAGCACCCGGTGACACCCCCCTCAATGAAGACGCGGGGGCCTGGGTTCACCTCGGTACTTGCATGGTACCCTCTCATCAATGCAAGCAAAGGGCTCCATGGCACTGTGACCTTCTGGCATAGGCCTTGATGCTAGCTTCGGTCCTTCAGTACATGCATGTACTCTGCCAGTTTTAGCAAAACCAGTCCGTCGGTTTGAGGCCTTGGCTTGGGAAGTGGGCCGGCTTCATCGGCGACTCCTGATGGGCCTGCAAATCTCCGATCCTAACTCAACGTCTTCCAAGAAGCCAGGATGGACCTTTGCAGGGAATACCGGGTCAGTCACGGACTCACGGTCAGTCAAAGAAGAGACATGCTGTATGTACATATGTCACACTTTCGATTCAATCGAACGACGTGCGTGTCAATTGATACCTTTTGCCCGTGACCAGCATCTCGTTCTCGATGGGTTACTGCGCGGTAACTCGTTCAATGTATGCACAGGGATGATTGAATAGGCGGCGACAAAAGCCAGCCACGGCAGCGACAGTTCTGCGAGCACCGGGGTAGCGCTGTAGTAGTACGACTTTATTTACACTGCACATGTGTATTTCCAAGACAACAACGATGCATGGACTAGGGTCAGGCGCCGCCATGCTGCCAGTTCTGTCTGGTATTAGTACGCCGCACTGCGCATATAATACGGCTGATGTACGGAGTACGGAGTACATACTGTCTGGTTGGACCAAGTTGTCGGCATCAGCTCCGTGACAAGAGTCGGCCTCTACCACGGGTTATGCCTGAAGCACTCTCCGAATTACGCCGTCAAACAAAAGCCCGAGCGGAGGCCGAACGCGCAGTTTTGCCAGCGGCATGAGCCTCCCGCTCTTGGTAAACGTTGCTTAACAAACTCGCATGTCCTTACGTGTCAAGATGGATCAACCATGCATTTGACTTTCAGTGAGCCGTCCTCAAGTCTTTCACCAGCGGAATAGAGGAGTCATGACGGCCATTCCATGAGCGAAGGCTAGATATGGAGCCACAAGAAGGAGGAGGCTCCCTGCCCCCCGTCTCCGGATCAATCGCAATCGTCCCACAATCAATGATATGACAGCTCGCTTGCGTTGACTTGTCCGGGTCAACTCGTTTCAGAGTGACACTGTGACTTATGCTTTTCAAATACTAGGAATTTCTCTCATAGTATCCCGCCGGCTCGGTTGAGATCTGCAAGCCGCAGCAGAAGTCAATGACTCTTGTCGATGCGATCAAGAAAGTCATTTAGAATCCATATCCTGCAACTAGCCGTTTCAATTCCCCGGCCCAACCACGTTTTTTCATCTCCACAGATCGTCAGTGAAGGCGGATGGCCTGGGGTTTGAATTTAGATCCCAGTAGCATGCAAGCTGCGGGGCATGCGGACTTTTCTACAGGCGCCATTGGATGTTGTGCAAAGCCCGCATTGAGAGCGTAACTCATTGAGTTTTTTGTGACAGGATCAAGTCATGATGCTTCACCAATTCCCTCCAAATACTCGGTAGCTTCTGCAAGGATGGGACGCTCATCCTGTATCCACAGATGGGCAGCAGTCTGATGGCTTTGTCGGATGCCAGCGGGGATTCTTAGTGCCCGCAGCAGATCGTCGATGTGCAAAAGATCAGCCATGCTTTTGCCACGCTTCTGGCAACTAAATGGAACAATTGTCTAGCAGGGTTGTGCAGCATCAGTTACGGACGGGCCAAAGAAGAGCGCTTGTCACTGGAACATGTCGATCGGACGTCGATTTGAAGTGGCTGCCAGTCAAACAGTTTTGGAGGGTCGATTTCTTCAAAGATCAGCGCTGCGGATGTCTCCAGGCACTGACTGGGCCGATTGAGGCGTACGCTGCATGGTCAACTCGTCCCGTCTCTGATAGTCCAAGTACTCCACCCCGTTCTCTAGGTTGCATTTGATACTTAAGTACATGGCGGCATTCAAGAGTGACATGCATATCAGCATGTCTACATGTTACTGTCAACACTGATATTTTGCCAACTACCACATACTATATGCGGGGAGAGTCTAGTCCGATCCTGCACCAGAGGTATTTGATTGAATACCACTGAATGCTTCATCATGCCATTATCAGGACTACCTAAGTACCAATCGGCATTTCAAGCCTCAACTATATGCCTCAAAAATAGTGCTACGGCAACGGACACCAGCTCCGTTGAAACCCAGAAGCCAACATTGAATGTCATCCAACTTGCCGGAGCAATTCTTCCCATAAAGCTCAGCGCTAGGGATCGGAACGGGGATGGAACTAAGCAACCTGACAACACGATGGCTACCAGTCTCTGACCTAACGAGCAGCGTCTTAGGCTTGGAGAAGACGAACCTATTTACGCACCGCGTTAGTATCTTCTTTCTAGGGGGTGCCGGAGGCTCAATGGCAGCATTCTTCACCAAGTTCAGCTGTCTTCCCAGTGTTAAAGTTCAGACCGGAAGGCCGCAATCTAAACATCTAGCCAAAACAACACGCCACAGCTCAACACCTTTAGGCGCAGACTCTAACGCCGTGAACGATGCGACATGCGTGGCTTCAAACTTGAGCTCCCCGCCATGTTAGTCTCCAGACCTTTAAAGCTCTTCATATTTTCGAGCTTCTAGCTTAAGCTAACTCCCTAAGCGTGTGCCGGCAGCCCTACATACATACAGTGGGTGTATATGTGGTTGGCTGACGAGACTCCATATTCCTCCCTCTCTCTTAATTGCATGTTCCCTACGGAGTAACTTGTGTCTATCTCCTTGCGCCACAATGGACAGGTGAGCCTAGCTCACTGAGAACAGATGCAATCTCCACCCTGTGATGAAGTGGTTCAGCAAGAGACTTCGTCTCTAGCAGCAGTGATTGGCTGATGGTGAGTCTAGAGCCAGGAAACCCCTGGCTGGCTCGAAGTTTGTCGCTGAAGCCGGCAGGTTGCCAAACAGGCAGTACTAGTAGATGTTCGAGTGACACTGTCGCAGCACGACTACGGAACTCCTAGAGAAGGTTCCGAGGCTTCTACTGTCCGTTTCATCTCCTACTCAGGCTAATCTGGCTTGTCTTCTCTGGTCTCGGCGAGAGTGGGTTGAACCTTGTCGTGGTGAGTCGAACTATCTTGGTGAGAAACCGTCGCGACACAGTCTGACTCATCAGTAGCATTCCAGAGACGAACGCAACTCCATCCAGGTTCGATGTGGATGCCCGGGGAATACGGCGAATCCCCCCCCTTTCCAAATTTTGGCATGGCAAAATGGCTCGGGAGCTTGCCCGGAAAGCTCGGTTCTTAGTTGATTCCAACTGCCTCCCTCCTCTCTCTTCATCAGCCTGTCGCATTTCTCGGACTGCTATAGGTACGGCAAAAGACGACGCGTAACAGAATGTCAACTGGCTGTTCTGGCACTGTTTCACCACCAAAGCCATTGTGACCAAAAAGGGTCTGGTGTCCGTCGCGATCTGGCCACCCCGGCATACATAGACAGCTAAGTTAAGCGACTGCCCTTTTTGATATTAAAGGGATTCTAAGCAACCAGTTCTCACAAGCACTCTTCTGTCTCAGGAACTTGACCTAAGTGAAATATTAGTTTAGTGGGTCGCAACTTTCAGCGACAGAAAAATACAGTGCCGTTTGTTGGTTTCAATGTTGGACACTTGGCCATTGTCACAGCTAGGCTGAGGCTACGGAGTACTCCGTAAACTTTCAATGTTGTATCTTCTGGGGCAACTTCCACATTTCTAGCAGCATCAACTTGGAAGGTCTCACGTAGCCATGTGCTTTCTCGAATTTCCTCGTCAGAGAAGATGATATCGGTGAAGCACGTCGGAAAAACACATCAACTATCAAGGACCCTTACTCATGTCGCATGCGACCCGCTCGAAAATAGTTTCAAAGGTACTTCGGAGGTGACTTCTGGCGAGACGACTACTATCTACTATCTCTTTGAACGGTGGGCCAAATCCGAGAGGCCTGTTGTCTGTCTCGGTAGCACCTACAACCGCTACGAGCTGAGGCTGAGGCTGCGGCTTGACCGTTGGGCTGGTCAAGTAGAAATCCTGTCTCGGGGTAATATGCACGCCGGTAGATGCTGTTGATGCTGGAGGTTATCCGCTAAAGCTGTGAATCCGTACAGAGAATATTTGGCTCGCAAGTTCCTTGGTCAATCTACCCGTAACGAACTTTGATCAGCAAATTCGGTAGGGAGCATTGCCGCAGCCCGTTTGTGTCCAAGTCTACAATAAGAGGCGGCTTCGAAAGACTTCACATGGCTCGAACTGACCGACGATACAGTGATTCGAATTCAACGATGTTCTACCAGACCGCTTGGTTGGCACGGACTTGCGCCGTATGTCTACTCCATGTGAGCACCTAGAATATCCCGGCATACATCTGCCTTCCCATAGACGAAAACAGTGTATCTGTGAATTAACCCTGGTTGTTCATGCCATAGAGGCAGTCGTGTTTTGCACCGCTCCTATGCTGCTAACTGGGCTGCTAGATATTCGCCCCGGGAATGTTGCCCTACCCTGCCGAGCAGTAGTAGTGATATTGAACAGTATCTGGCCACAAGGCCGCCTCTTGTGCATGACATCTGGCGAAAAGGCGGCACGCCGACATATCCAAATCTCCCCCCTTTGGGGAAAGCCACACTGCCATTCTCGACCTGGGATATGCTTTTCGCCGGTTACGCTTCCCACGGGGCGCCCCCTTGCCAACTGAATTTGCGGATGAGGATGCGACAACAACCCTACCCTTGGAAGTTGAGGCATTTCGGTTCATGTGTTGATTCAGTGACCTTCCTTGCCTGGCTGTTTTACTACTGGACTCTGGGTATACGTGTATTATATTTTTGACTCATGGAGCCTCTATACAGCTAGGCTTTGGGCAGACTGACGATAGCCTTTGGCGTCAGTACGAGGAACAGTACGAGGTACTCGCCGACTTCCGCGGTAAATGAGTCCATCGTGTACGATCTCCTGGACTTTCGAGTGTTGCTTTTATCACTGCTGTGTCGAGATGCTGCTCACGGATTTTCAGTAGAAGAGCTAGCAAGCAGCACTCACTGTAAGGCGAAGTCGCACACCCTTGTTGAAAAGAGTACTACGTGAGGTCTGGTAGTACTCCAGATGTGCAGTCTGTAAAACAGGGGCTTCGAAATGACAGAGCCAGTCAGTAACGAAGCGGGCGCAAGTCGCAGTTGACAGCCAGAGACAAGTTACAACCCAGACATTCTCACATCAGACAAACTCAAAACAAAGTCCCGAGTACAAGCTCCCTGACGGCAGGGCTGCAAATTGGACAAGATCGAGTCAGAAAACAGTCTGCCAATCCGACAGGATCCCACGTTCTAGATCCCCAAAGATCGGCACTTCATGTTTCACTTGTCCACTTTCTGTCAGGCCACAAACACATGGCTTGCATTGGTAGGATCGACAGCCACCACTTTAATGTCCCGTTCCCTCATGGGATAGGATAGGAAAGTGTGAGCTCTTGATGGGTTTTACCATGGTCACCTCTCAATTACCATGGACGTACTCTGTATCTTGAAACACCTGGGTCCGATTTTGCGCGCTTCCACAGAGAACATTGAAGCAAATGGCGACTGTGTCCAGACCAGCCTGTGGCTTGTAGAACCGCGCGCCCCTCTTGGTGCTTGATTGATTTGATTGATTGATTGCCTGATAACGGGCGGCAATTGACTCGACTCTACCACCAGTTGACCTTTTTAGGAGCGGTGCTTCTCCGTCTGTTCCAGACTGAGTCTCGACCCGGGACCGCGCTCAAGCTCGTGCTCTTATGCGCCAGCGAGAATGGCAGACGGTTGCTTTCTCGGCTTGTTGCCGAGCACACATGTAGTACGTATTGTTTTATTCATCTATCAGAATCTGGCTGCCCTTGCCCTTGCCCATTCACACTCACACGCCCCTCCTCCGTCGACCTGGTGGTTTTTCGCTCGCCATGGGTCATGGTCCAGACTCCAAAGACAATTTGTGTAGGGCTATCGGAGCCGATTCCGGAGCGCTCGGAAGAATTGGGCACATCAATCACCCGGCCTGCTCTGTGTCTAATTCATCATTGTTGCCCAGGAATGCCAAGATGCTTTTGCGTTTTTGTGGCATGGCAGTATCGACTGGCCGAGAGACAGCCAAGGTGTCGAGGGAGTCACCAGGGCCGCCGCGCTGCATGCGCATGGCGCCATTCTGGGCCTCTCGCTTCACAAAGACTGCCTTTGCCTGCCTGGTCTTGAAGCCGGCCGTTGAAGAGGAAGTGACGGCGTGCGACAATGTCTGACGCTTTGCGCCGTTTTTGTTGCACGCACAGGACGCAGCGCAACGTGCCGTGACGCGCAAACCATTTCGAACACTAGGCATTCATGGACCTCGCAGGTGACATTGATTTCCCTGGCTACCTGCATGGTTCGATTCCAAACTCGCTCGTCCTCCTCGCCAAATGCTGGCGGCGGGACTGGAGGGATATTGAATAAGCCTGCGCCACGGCTTGCGACGCCCAGCATCGCCGTCTCTCCACGGACAGTCGCGGACTTTGTCCAGCTCGCGGCTGCTTGTTATGCAAAGGCTAGATTTGACTTTCATTTGGCTGTGCCGTCTATTATACTGTGTCTTACTTGCTGTAGCTTCGGGACAATTTGATGAGGCCACCGAACCCCGTGCCAGAACCCGTACTCCCAGCGCCTATTGTACCGCAGCCAACGGCGCCGGGCGCCATGGAATACCGTGTGTCTTGTACTCCGTACTCCGTATATATTTATGTAGTATTTACTGATATGCAGGGTTGCAGCCACCCAATAAATGGCTGCCTAACGTTCATGCATGGCGTGTAAGCGCAGCCACACGTGACAAGGCACGGCGGCCATGCGAGTATAATTCGAGGTGCGCACGTCTCCTATCGGGCTCTATTTATATAGCAAAGGGCCAGAACCTCGGTCTGTGGCCCTGTGTAAAAGGTTATAATGGACGTGTCGACATGAATGCCTCTGGCAAAGGGGGGCAGGGGGCTTGGGTCTCGTCGGGTCTCGCGGTCTGGATGCCGTGTTGAGTGTTGAGTGTGTGTGAATTTGTGTGTCAGTATTGCCATGTCCCGGCACTGCAGGAGGAGCGTCTCCTGCGTCCACCACGCCGGCAGGGTCCATTTAATTTTTCAGGGTTTCATTGAATAGACGTGGGGAAAAGTTTGTTACCGAGGATTTACTTCAGCCATCAGTCACCGGTGTTTCTGTGATGGAGTCGTTTTTTTTATTTTCGCGGAATTCTAATTTGAGGCTCTCGGCGAGGTCTGGACGCGTCGAGAACCTTGCAGGCCAGGGTCGACGACTGCGCACGCGCCAAGGGTGAGTGAGGCTTGGGCGGATGGAAGAAGCGCAGAGACATTACGCGTACGGCCAAGGGAGTGGGTGGTAAGAATGTCTGATGCGTTGGCCTGGATGCATCACGCGTGGGCTCTCGGGGAGGGCGTACGTCGGACGGCCACGTCGCCTCCCGGGGAAACATGACTGGTCTGGCATCAGATGGCCTCGGGGGATCAGAGAGCCTGATGGGAAGTCTCTAGGGGCCAACTCGCTTGCTGGAACGGTGAATCCCGGGGGCAAAAGGTATTGGTATGTATTCAGCATAGGCCTGAGTGCAGGCAAGGACCTATCTGCTCTGAACTGCTGCCTTGGGCCCCGGGACGACATGGGCAGCACTTCCCGCCCCGTTGGTTCCCCGTTGGTTGACAGCACCGCTTCGGCGACGCTTCTCAAAGTCGCTCCCAGTCCTGGTGAACATAGGCCGTGTTGTATGCGTTCCAGTCAAAGACCCTCGTGCCGCCGGCCTCGTCGTCCTCCATGTCGACCAGCGCGTCGAGGCACGGGCGACAGCTCTTCAGGCACGTCCCCCTCCCGACCACATCCTCGGCAAACAGGCGCAGCTGCGTGGGAAACGTCGCGTCCTGGTAGTAGTCGACAACCATGGCCTGCGTGAGCTGCCGCCTGAGCGAGTGGAACTGGAAGTCGGCCATGCCCATGTCCCGGCACTGCAGGAGCGTCTCCTGCGTCCACCACGGCGGCAGCAGGCCCCTTTGCCACGCGACCCGGAGGAAGGACTGGACAAAGTCGCCCTGCGAGTCGGCGCCCCCGCTGTAGATGGTGCCCGGCCGAGTCTGGCCCTCGAAGAGGAACGCGTCGTGGAGGCGGAGGCGGTACGAGTCGATGAGGAGGCGGAACGTGTCCTCCCTGGGGCGGTCGTGGATCCACGTCCTTTCGAGCATGGCCGTGAAGGGCCGCTGGATGGGCTGCAGGAGGCCCTGGCGCGGCGAGAAGGCGGCGAGCGACGGCCGGAGGAGCGGATCGAAGGCGACGCCCGGGTTGTTGGGGAAGGCGAAGCAGTCGTTGACGTGCGAGTGTAGGCCGCCGGCGAGCTCGCATTGGCACCGGAGGCACGTCTTTGTGAAGCAGGTGTCGCAGCGGGTGAGCTTGGGACCGGGCCACCACCTCTTGCACTTGTCGCACTGGGCCATGTCTGTGGCTGCGGCCGCGGTGGGAGTGTCCATGGGAGCTTGTGACGCTGGGTGACGAGGGAGTGATGCTGGCGTTGCTTGTGGAGGGAAGTGTTTGTGATGGGGGTTTTGGACGTTGATGGAGGTTTGGTGTGTGACTGGTGGTTTGGCCATGTTCTCTGGCTTAACGGGGGGTGAACGCTTTCTGAGCCACTTGTGAATCGGTGAATGGAACATGGTGAGATGACGGACATGCGGCAGGAAGGCTGTCTGTTTGTGAGTGGAAGAAAGGGACGGGGTAGGAGAAGTGTAATGGAGTTGTTTGTAGATATCAAACCGAGGCCGCGTATGAGATGGAGTTGTATGATAGATGTCTAGATCAAACCTTTCATACTGAACTGCCTAGTCTGTGGACAGGTGCCAACAGTGTTACACTCGGTTGGATATACTGAGTCACTGTGAGGATTATTCCCTGCCGTTTTAGTGAGTATGAACGGATTGTGATTTATCTTTGAGCATTCTTGATAGACACGGCAGTTACCCTACCCCCTTGCCTCGGCGGTATTTGCGTTGCTCCTCGTCAACGAGGATACTCTACCCAAGTAATACGTTGCTTCCAACTGTAAAAGTAGACAGCCTGGCTATCAGGCCCGAAACCTGAGAGAAATATTCGCCCAGTTTGTTACGCTTGTGTTATACTTTTCTTTCACGGCTTCCAAATACCTGAAACTTCTCAAAAAAGGAGACAATACTAGCAGCAAACTCCTCCTCATTCGTCTCAATCGCAAAATGCCCAGCATCCAGCAGCTTCACCTCGAGCTTCTCCACATCCCTCCTGAACGCTTCAGCGCCAGGAGGAACAAAAATGACATCGTTCTTGCCCCAAATCGCCAAAACCGGAACCTTGGAGGTGCGCAAGTACTCCTGGAACTTGGGATACAGCGCCACGTTGTTGCGGTAGTCGTAAAACAGATCCAGCTGCACGTCCTTGTTGCCCACGCGGTCCATCAGCGCCTGGTCGAGCGCGTACGCCTCCGGCTGCACCTTGTCGGCGTTGGGAGAGCCATACGTGTACTGCCACTTGGTCGCGTCCGACTCCAGGAGGCCCCTGAGGGCGTTTCTGTCCTCGTCGGCACCAGAGGCCCAGTACTTGCGCACGGGAGCCCAGAACTCGGCGCCGAGCCCCTCGTCGTAGGCGTTTCCGTTCTGGCTGATGATGGCGACGACCTTTTCGGGGTTTTTGAGGGCCAGGCGCAGGCCCGTGGGGGCGCCGTAGTCGAATATGTAGATGGCGTACTTTTGGAGAGACAGGGCCGAGGCGAAGGCGTCGATTGTGGTGCCGAGATTGTCGAAGCTGTGGACGTAGTTGTCGGGGACTGTGGTGAAGCCGAAGCCGGGCAGGTCTGGGGCGATGACGCGATATCCCTTGGCGGCGAGGAGAGGCATCAAGTTGCGGAATTGGTGGGACGAGGATGGGAAGCCGTGGAGGAGGAGGACGGTGGGTGCGTCTGCGCTGCTTGGGCCGGCTTTTCTGTAGAAGACTTGGGCGCCGTTGGCTTCGACGAAGGCGGTGGATGTGTTTGCCGACATTGCTGGTTTGTGGTGTTGATGGAGTTGGGTGATAAGATATCTTGTTCAGGTGTTAATATTGTTGTTAGGCTGGTTTTGTTAGTTTGTGCTGATTCTGAAAAACTTCTGTTGCTGCTGATGGTTAAATCATCTTGTTTCAAAGGGCACGGCTTATAAGTAAACAACGGACGCCACGGAATGGGAGCAAATCATGTCATTTGTAATATTGAATATGGTTTGTGATGGCTGATCTATTGGAAGCTACGCATCTCGGCGTTTCGTGACGCCTAGCACTTGGGAAGGCTTGACACAATGAGGAATCTGGAAGGTCGAACGGCGTTTGACATTCGAAGGTGAAGGTGGTGTGGAATCAACAGCGGGAATAGTTTCAAACGTGTGTTCAATGATGTTTTATTCCCGGTACGGTGATTGACAAGAGAAGGATTTGTCACGGCGAAACGTTGTGATTGGGTCATAAAAAGATTCAACATGCTGCCCCTCTGGCTGAATAATAATAAGAACAGCTAATTACGTGATTGGCTGTTTAGCTCGGAAGTCCGTGGGTGTGCTATCGTAAAAAAAAAAGAGTAATTTTTTTCTGATTTGGCTATGTCAGGACAGAATTTTTAGTAAATTTAGTAGTCATTTACTAAATGATAATAGGAAGCAGGTGGAAGAAGGGGTTCTGGTAGGCATTTGCTGATTGTCATGCTTCTTAGATATCAATAAGCGCCTCACCTACCAACAAGCAGGAAAGCTTCCGTAGCTCAGTTGGTTAGAGCTTCGTACTAATAAACGTTAGTGATGCGGAGGCCGCAGGTTCAAGCCCTGCCGGGAGCAAAGATCGTTCCACGATGCTTTCTAACTATTTCTTTATAATTTTTGCATTAGAGGAATAATGCGATTATGACTTTTTCTTTTCTTTTTTATCCGCCTAAATGCCTTTTTTTTTTAAAAAAAAAATCTTTCAAAGCGTTCTGAGACCCCTTAGCCCATTCAATATACGGCCCTGGGACAGTGGTTCTTGAGGCCTCGCAACCCTCGCAGCAAATCCGAAGCAACAACCGCAGCTCCTCAACCCCGCCGAGTGACCGTTTCAATCGCAGCCCGCCAACTTCTACCCCACGCGTTTACAGCTTTGGGTTCAAACTTGGGGCTTCCCCGCACGAACAAGCATGACAACTACGATGACAACCATCATGCCCTGCACAAGTTCCTCTATTGGGCAAGGATCAACAACTTGGATCATTGTCAAATATCCGACGGGATGTCAAATGTGTCACTGAGCCAGTGACCCCCACGAGATGTATCAAATGATGGAGGAATCAGAGTCCGACCAAAGAATGGGCGGTGCCTGTCACATCGCTGTCGAAACTCTTAAAGCTGGGCATTGGCAAAGTACTTGTATATTTTGCAATAACTAGAGTCAAGCCCACCATGGTTGGGATACATCGCACCGCCCAGCTTCTGGCTTCCGCTATCTTTCTTTCCCGTCTCTCACACCAGAAATGCACCAATGACGAAGACTGCAGCCTCAACGGTGTCTGCGGCCGTGACACCGCCTGCCGTTGCGATGCCGGCTGGATCGGAGACGATTGCGGCATTCTCGACGTCCGCCCAGCCAAACTAGACAATGGCTATAACCAGACAGCCAAAGGGACATCATCCTGGTGCAACAGCATCGTGAAAGACCCCCTGGAACGAAACCTACATCACCTCTTTGTATCCGAGTTCAGCCACGGCTGCGGCCTCGACTACTGGGCACCGTATAGTCGCATCATCAGAGCAGAATCTCGTTCTGGTCCCGCCGGACCGTACAAGTTCGCCGCCCAAGTCCAGGGCACCTTTGCGCACAACCCGACGGTGGTGTACAGCCCTGCCGACAGAGAATGGTTAATGTACCACATTGGCTGTCCGACAGACGTTGCCGATACGTGCCAAAGCAAGCACTTCTCATGCGGAGCTGGAAACACGAATAACGGCGAGAGCGGCATCGCCGTCATGTCCAGCCGCGACCTAAGGAGCTGGACGCCCAAAGGTCAGATCTTGAAAGGAAACAACGGCAGAGGCTGGGACGCAGACGTCACAAACCCCTCCGCCTTCCCGCTCTTCTCCAAGACAAGCTGTGGAAATCACGGCCGATTTGATGACGACACCCAGGCAGTGCTGTTGGCCTACCGTGGCTGCCCGTACAATTGCTCTGGCGAAGAGCTCATCAATGTTGCGATATCGGAAACCGGCTACGCTGGCCCCTACAAGAAGGTCCAGCAGGATCCCGTCTTCCCCAATGGCAACGAAGACCCGTTTGTCTGGCGCGACAAGAGAGGCAACTATCATATGCTGCTGCATTCTCTTGAGCCAGAGGGCGGGTTCGGAGACGGACCAAAGGTTGGCCGACATGCCTGGGCGCGTGATTACAAGGGGCCGTGGACTTTTGGCAGCCGAACTTTGGCATTTAGTACCCATGTTAGCTACGTCGACGGGTCTGTCATTACCTTTTATAGGAGGGAGCGGCCACAGCTGTATTTCTCTGAGGATGGGACGATGACGCCCCTGTTTCTGGGGACGGGGGTGCAGCCAAGGGATAGTCCGATGAGCTATTCGGTTATTGTGCCTGTTGGCGATGCGGGTGTCCATGCACAGGGGCCATGAGGATGAGGAGACTTTTGGGACGAGGTTGAAGGAAAGCGCGGATAATTGTGGTGTTTTGACTAATGATAATGACACCGCCCGCTGATACGGAACCAGTTAGCGATTTTGATGTGGTGTTGTTTCTGGACCTTTATATAGGTGTAAAAGGTATCTAGTATAGGATTATCTTAACTTGGCTAAAAAGATAACCAAGCATTATTTTCTGCTAATTTATCTTGTCTTTTTATTGTCCTTTGGCCCTCAGAATTAAATTATTAAACATGGCTGAATTTTTATGCGTGGCTATAGAAAGTAGAGGCAACAGGGCTCTTGCACCCCGGGCAGGTAGAAGATGGATGATCCCGAGTATAGGAATAAGTGGTACAGTGAACTGCACGGCTTGCCTGAGGATGATGCCGGCAAGTCTACTGAAAGTAGGAGAGAGAGACTCTTGGGGCTTATGACTCGGCTGGGTTTTTCCTAGGCGTATTCTAGACGATGTTATTTATATTAGGATTTCATATTTATGATGGCTTAAGGATAAACAGGCGGGAATAATAACGATGCTTTTTATTTGGGAAAAGGATCAACGGACTTGTGATGCCTATTTCTAGACTTACTCCTTATTATAGCCATATGGTAAGTATAATACTCCTGCTCCTCGCAGGAGATTTCCCTAATGGACCCGACTCTGCCAAAATTCGCCAACATGAGATAAAGTCACCACGCCCTACACCAAGGCCTCAACTAGGTCTCGAGCCCTTGTGTAATTATCGCCAGGTTCAGGGTATTACAACGTGACCTCCGCGTAACAGCCCACACATGACGATATACAAGGCGCGAATGGCCAACAACCAAGGAAAAAGCCGCATAAAAAAAAATCGACCAACCGGCGGAGTGGTGGTTGTGGTGCAGCTCGCTGAGCTGTGGGCTCAGTGCTGTTTATGGAGACACGTGGTGGTGCGGTATTATGTCCATCGTCAAGCGACGACTCAAGTCTCACTCACCTCCACCACCCACACTCATCACACTCATCG